TTCCATAGATAAATAACCTTACAAAATTACTGCAAATTCATTTAATACTGTATATCTATCTATATATTACACGAAACCAATGATAGTACAACTCTTATAGTTAGTGGCAATGCATTCCATAAGCGAACGACCCCATTACGACTCATTAGTCGCGATATGTTGTAGAATTCATTCGGATTAACGTAATGAAAAATTTTCCGATGGCCTTAAGAAACTTGAATACGTGTTGACATAAAGGAACTAAGTAGGCACGTTCTTTGTAATAAGGAAGTACAGAGGATTAAAAATATTACAATTATGTATACTGGCGACTCGACGCGCGTTAATGTCGGATATCGTAGTAAAAATTAACCTATGTTACTCGCTGATAATGTTACTTTCCATTGGTGAAATTATTTTTAAAATTGGTTTAGTGGTTTAGGCGTGAAATCGTAACAAACAAAACTCAATTTAACATTCATATTATAGCTATGGAAGTCCTCGTAAGGATACTTGATACCTAAATGTATTATACAGAAGCTGATTACTCTTAGTCAAATCTAGAATAATTGTTCTATGGATCTTGGAATTAAAAAGAGATGTGAAATCAAAGTAATAAAAAAATTACAACAGAGCAAAAGAAAAAAAAGAGGGTACTCCTTCCTAAAAGGCCGGCTCCCGGACTCCTGAGTTGCAGACGTTAATGGGCGGCGATGGTCACTTTCCATCAGGTGACCCGTCTGCTCATCTGCCCCCTCTAACATAAAAAAAACAAAACAAATAATAACACAACGAATTGAGTACATCTTCCTTTATAATAATAAATATAAATAAATAACAGCACAACATCGAAATACCAACGATTTTGTAGGTCTTCAATTCTATAAGCGAACTACCCGAAAAGTAACTCAAAGTTAATTGAGTATTTTGTGGAATGCACTAGTTAATAAATAAAACGGAAAATTTTCCACACTCCATTCCATATACATACTTTTAAGTCCACCCGTAATTAAGATCAGAGCAATGCCATGGAAACGTGTTGTGATCGAATGAGATCATACCGTTTATATAGCAAAGATTAAGTAACTATTACACATACATAATGAATCGCGGATGTTTAAAACAAGTATTTACAATATAAATAAACATTATATTCTTGTAAAATTTACATAAACCAACAGAGAACACTCTTCACTCTTTTCTCGTGTATTAATTATTGACTAGCTTTTGCCCGCGACTCCACGCGCGTGTGTGTACGTTCTCGTAGTAAAAAATAGCCTATATTACTCGCTGATAATATAGTTTTCTATTGCTGAAAGATTTTTTTTAATAGGTTTAGTGGTTTAGACGTGAAAACGTACGAAACAAACAAACTCACTTTCACATTAGTATTATGGGTATAAAAGTATTTATTTATGACTAGCTGACCCGGCAAACGTTGTATTGCAAAACAAAAAAAAATTAGGGATGGGTCACCCTTACCATTTAGGGGTATGAAAAATAGATGTTGGCCGATTCTCAGACCTACCCGATGTGCACACAAAATTTCATGAGAATCGGTCAAGCCGTTTCGGAGGAGTACGGGAACGAACATTGTGACACGAGAATTTTATATATAAGATTTAAAAACGATTTTAACACATACATGACTGACTACTTATACAGAAAAAAGAGGTATTCCTAGACACAAATGGCGTTTATTCATCGTCTCTCGAAAATTACACATGTTCATTGAAAGAATATTCTGACTTCTAAGTTCCAACAACAGTCTTGTGACCGTGAGCCGGTTTATTTATTTGTTTCTTTGTTTATTATACTGATGTTTCGGCACTAATTACCCAACCGATTATACGTACACCTGACGACATTTACAAAGGTCTAAGAAAAAAAAAACAATACAATTCGATAGTAATTTAACTTTATTTGTCCGTGTGGTGACGGATAAGGAATACGAAGTGTTTCTTCTTATTTTTAAAAAAGACAACTCCCACATTAGGAGTAAGAATATCCTGTATAAGTGTTACCTCAGCTATTCATCCTGTGTAAGAGCCGACTAAGAGAGCAAACTCTGCAAGATAACAGCACTGTAAAGAGAAGGACAACTTGAAACAATCCCGTCTGGCTAGCGTGGTATAGTAAGTAGTATTTCTAATTAGAGGCCTATGTCCAGCAGTAGACTGTTATAAGCTGGTGATGTGATGTGATATATGACTGAAGTTTCAGGCAGTTCTACAGATTTGTCTAAATCTAAACCAAGTATCAAGTAGATAGGTACATTTTATCGTAAATACGAATATAAATAATACATAATAACACCCAGACAAATGCAAATAGACGCATTCATACAATATACTAATCTAGTTAGTACTGAGCAGGATCCGAATCTGCAATTTGTTTTGTTGCAATTGCATATCCTACAGTGATTGCAGGTGATGTATGGTGGCGTCGTTACCAGGAAACTTTGAAATAAAAAGCGGTAAATGATTTAAGTTCTTTATACGAGGGAGACCCATGCTTCCTCACAAATGGGCCGGCTCGACCGGAGTGATACCACGGCCTCACAGAAAACCGGTGTAAAGCGATTCTTTCGTTGCCTTTCACGGAGTGAGTGAGGTTACCGGACCCCAAATCCCTCCTTCCGCTGACTCGTGCGAGAGGATGATGAGTTGCAGGTGTCCATGGGCGGCGGTAGTTGCTTACCATCAGGTGACCCGTCTGCTCGTTTGCCCCCTTATACCATAAAAGAAATCGGGAGTGCAAACGTGCGGGTGTTCGTGTCAGCTTTTAAACGTCAACTGCGGCCGGTTGCTAACTAGTCTAACTACCGGCCGAATTAAATTGTATCTATCTGAGCTCGCTAAGTACACACGCGCGCCTTTATTATCACTATAGTTAAACCGCCGTAAGCTTGGCCCTCCTGATGGTTTGCGGGACGCGGGGCGGGTGATGCGCTCGGCTATACATGACACGATGTACTAACTCAATATCTTCAGATTTATTTGTTTGAGATTTAATCTACACACGATGTAATAAAAATCGAATTTATTTCCATGTATTATAATGTCAGTGTATTGTAAGTTTTTATGATTAATTGTAAAATTTAATACTGTAAAATAATTTTAATAAAATCACCATGGAAATTATATTCAGATAAAATTAAAAAATAAGTAAAATAATAAATATTCTTTATTGTAACTTTAACAGTAGAACCTCTGTAAGCCGAACTTCAAGTTTTTAAATCTTTTTGTGACGCAGAGTCGGCAGATTATCCATGTTGCAAAATAATACCGTGTGTAGCAGTCTTAAGAAAAATAACACTTACAGCCATGCTTTCACGTCACTCACTGCCGGCGGACAGCTACGCACTAGCTAATTGGTAGAATGCACCCCCGCCCCGCGTCCCCCAAACCATCAGGAGGGCCAAGCTTACGGCGGTTTAACTATAATACATAAATACATTTGGTTAAACACATAATATAGGTATACATATTTCGAACGTTTTAATAATAAGGTTTTCATCACAAGTTTGCTACTATGGTGGCACACAAGTAAATGCTCACCGTCGTCTATGAGCGCTAGTAACACCGGGGTGTCACTTTCACTTACGCGTCGTCTACAGTGATGTAAAGAAAAACATCATCATCATCAACAGCCTTGAATAGTCCACTGCTGGACATAGGCCTCTCCTTAGAAAGAAGGCCTTGGCCTACTGTGCCACGCTGGCCAGACGGGTGGATAGAGTTAGCTTCAAGTTTTCCTTCTCTTTGCAGTGCTGTTGTCCTATGTAGTTTGCTCCCTTAGTCGGGACGAATAGGGGAGGTGACACACCGTATGCTTAATCCGTCAAAATACGGGCAGTCAGTCACCACACTGACTGTCCATGTGGTAACAAAAATATATATGATATTTTAATTATGAAGGTCATTGAACTATATATTGCGATATTACTAAAACCCGTAGGATATCGTGAGTTGCATGTATCCGGTTACATCAGATAACGCAATTATTTTTAGTTGTCCTATTTATATCGCATGGAGCGAAGCTTGAATCAATCAATCACGTATACAAATTAATATTTTTTTCCAATCAATTCTTTTTTTATGTCAGGGGGGGCAGACGAGCAGACGGGTCACCTGATGGAAAGTGACCATCGCCGCCCATGAACGTCTGCAACTCAGGAGTCACAAACGCGTTGCCTAGCCTTTTAGGAAGGAGTACGCTCTTTTCTTGAAGGTTTGAAGTTCGTATCGGTACGAAAATACCGCAGACGATAACGCGTTCCACAGATTGGTTGTGCGGAACAAAAAGTGTCTCGAAAAGCGCACGGTAGTGATAGTTTTTCTCAGTGATGATGTATTTTGATTATACCTGACTTTAAAGTTTAGTTTATAAAAGTGTTGTTAGACATAAAATTGGACATCAGTTATTTGAGTTATAATAATAATAAAACGACCATCTGATACACAACGATATCTTGTTTCAAACTAAGCAGAGCCTTTACTATGAAAGATAGATTGACTGATAGAATTCTCGTATTTTTTTGTACTATACATAGAAAACACCCAAACTCCGAATCTTTGTAGATCATACAAACATTTGGTCCGACCGTGGAATCGAACCCAAGCACAGCACAGCAGTAGCCACCACTGCGCCACCGAGGCAATTATTTAAAGCTACAAGGCTGCATTCCATTTTTACTTCGTGGGAGAGCCATCCTTCAGCACATACTGGCCAGGCTCGACTGGAGTGATCCCAGGGCCTCACAGAAAACCGGTGTATAGCAGTTCTTTCCTTGCTTTCTCCGAGTGATTGAGGTTACCGCAGTCCAAACTCTCTTGATTCTAGGGACTAAAAGGGAGAGCAATGTACTTTTGACTCTGGAGAAGCAGGTTTCCATGAGCAATGGTAGTCACATACCATCAGATGACTCGGCAGCTCGTTTGCCCGCCATGTCAAAAAAACTTTCATTTTTCACTAAGACTCATTTTCGTCTGTTTGAACTTGTTACAGGAACAAAAATCATGTCTGAGGACTTCAGTACCCTCGTTCACGTATCTCCCTTGATGACGACTGAACGAATCAGTAAGGCCCTCACGAAATGGTTCAATGAGGAACATACTTTTAGTCATTGGGAGGTAAAATCTACGAATATTTATAACCTATCCACACACACATTATAAACCAATTTATTTAATATATTAAGATTATTACTTATACTATAAAGCAAAGCCAAACCCCGAGAAGCCCAAAATCGATCGAAGTGGCGTGCAATAGGAGAGGCCTATGTCCAGCAGTGGACTGCGATAGGCTGATGATGATAAAGCAATAAGTTTAGTAGATGCACATTCAATGAAAGTAACAAGTTTAAAACCTAAAATGTTCATGGACCTTTCCAATTGATCTAATTGAAAATGCCGTTGAATTAAAAAAAAACTGGCTTTTAAAAGTATTAACGCTTAAATTTACAAAAAAATTAAGTTAAACATAATACATTCATCCACATTTGCTTAACAATTTTTTTTTTCTAAATATTGTTAGTCAAAATTTAACTTTTATTCATTGGCAGTATGTCAAAGAAATGGACAAAGGCAACGCACATTGCAGTGATCTCCTTCGCATCAGAATATATGGAGTTAATCTGAATGCTGATCTGCGTTTCGTCCAAGTTGTATTGAAAAGGATTCCTAAGAATATCGCCAGGCGGCTCACTTGTCGGAGTGATGAGTTTTTCAGAAACGAAATTAACTTCTACGAGAAAATCCTTCCAGAATTATTAGCCTTCCAGAGCAAAAGGCAACCTAAACACCCCTTCGATAACTTTATGAAATTGTTCTTCGCTCAGTCCGATGGGAAAGATGATGTCGTCTGTATAGAAGATGCTAGTGTAAAGGAATTCAAGAACATTCCTCGTCAAAAGGGCATAGACACAGAACATTACAATCTCACATTAAAAACCTTTGCTCGGTTTCATGCTTTATCGTTTGCAATGAAAGATCAGGAGCCCGAAAAGTTTGAAAAGCTGCTGAATAATATTCACGAAGTTTACTTCGACAAACATCTTTGTGATTGGTATTTGGGACTTTGGAACAGACTGTCTGACATTGCTATAGATGCTGTTGAGAAAGAATATCCTGACTCTGTATACGTTCAGAAAATAAGGGAATTTGCCGTTCCAGATAGATATCAAGATATGGTAAAAGCAGCTACAAGGACTACAGAAACTGGAGTGATATGCCATGGTGATATTTGGACATGTAATTTCCTCTATAAGTATTTAGATGGCCACCCCGTTGATATAAAAATGATCGATTTCCAAATAGCTCGATTTGCGACACCTGTTCTGGATGTCTCTTGTATAATATATAATTGTATAACTCATGATTTAAGAGAAAATTATTATGACCAAATGCTGGAAATTTATTATGACACTCTCGCAAATCAGATCAGGGATTTAGGCAGTGATCCAGATAAATTGTACCCATGGAAGTTATTTCAGACTGAAATCAAAAAGTATTCTTATTTTGGTCTTGGCTATAGTTTCGACTCAATACCGTTTTTGGTATTACCTGAAGAAGAAGCAATCGATATGGAAATAGAGGTAAGCATTTATTATTACAATGACAAAAAATCTAAAATGAATGTTATATTGAATAAAAAAAATGGAATACCTGCATTTTGTAATACACTACCATTCTTCAGTAGTTTAAAGCTGAAATAGTTGCACAATATTCTTTTAGAAGAATGCTAGTGCTATTCTTGCAAGGGATTATGTGATCCTGTGACACGATCAAGGGCAAGAAGGGAAACCCAGGTTTAGTTTTATTCCGTAAGAATCTGACAGATCTTTTTGGCCACCGCTCTCTTATAGTTAGAGGATATCTATGATGATCTTCCACTCTTTGAAGTCAATTAAACACCCCAATATTACAGTAATTTTTTGTGATATGACTGTTTTTTTTTTGATTTCAGGGAGACAAAGCAGTTAACTTAAAAGATGTATGGAAGATAGGTAATATCAAAACGAAGGACGGCAGACTTAGAGAAGCTAACAATGTAAAACATTGCGTAGATAAAGGATACATTTAACAATGCAAATCTTCGTCTATTGTTTGCTCTAGGACCACACTAAAATACATTAAATCATTACATGTTTGAATCTTATATTGTATTTTGACGGATGTGGAACTGTGATTGATGATGGTCATTTATTTATGACTAGCTGATATCCGCGACTTCGTTTGCGTGAAATTTGTAAAGCCTTAGTCGGTTCGATTCCAGGACCGGGCTAAATTTTAGGGTTTTTCTGAGTGGAAAAATAGCCTTAGTTTCTCCTTATACAGACAGCTACTTGGTAGTAAAGTAGTTTAGAAGATTAGTCGGAACTAGTGATGTGCCGGATATCCGTATCCGTATCCGCGGATATCCAAGGGAGAAGAGAGATCCGTAACCGTATCCGTATCCGTGACTTTTTTGGCGGATCTTTCAATACATATTACATAGATGAAATTCTATATAGGTGATTTTGTATTCACTGTAAAACTCTTAGGTATGTGTTTGTAACACTATAAACAGCAACTTTTTTTCTGGCCAACGTCAAAATAAAAAAAATAAAAGCCGTGTGGTGTCGTGGGACACCCGATAGGAACGAAGTTGTTTAAAGTTAAAACTGATTTGACACGATATTAATTACAACGCCATCTATGAAAGCGGCTATTACCTACATGTTAAAAACAATTAAAACAATTTATACATTGGTAAAATCTCCTTGCGAAATGATTTCCTATCTATTCGATAGATGGCGCTGAATGTCTGACAAGATGACACGAAAAAATATTATTACTAGTCATAGTTCATACTTTCATCAAATTCATGGCTTACGTTGTATGTTATAATAAGATTACTTTAATTTTAAAAAAACTTTGACTGAAATCTGGGTAATAGTGTACATAGCATCAACTTCTTTTGATCATTAAAGTGTTTTGAAATATATTTACTTAGTTTTATTTCCTAAATTCAAAATTTCAAGAAAAAAATATAATGTTGACATTTGGGTAGGCCGTGGAAACACTTAAAACCACCAGAAAGATAATAAAATATGAATTAACATTACAAGCCTACACTATACTCACATTTACATACTTACACAAAAAAAAAACTATACCATTCAAATTCAAAGAAAAATAAAATACGAAAACAAAATACGAAATACACCAAAAAAAAAACCTGCGGTAAAAAATTTAATAAAGAGCAAAAAGCCAACATCACGTGGTATTCCCAGGCGGTCACCCATCCAAGTACTAACCACGCCCGATGTTGCTTAACTTCGGTGATCGGACGAGAACCGGTGTATTCAACATGGTATGGACGTTGGCGAACGTTAAAGCAAATTTAATGTATGGTATCCACAGTTAGACGTCAATTTATATTAAAAGTGTCGTTCCAAATTTTCGTATGAATTTTTTCCGTCTAGCCCCCTTTCACAACGCGCGATAAGGAACTTCGTTCCAAAAATTGTTCCTCCATTCAAATAACCAATCAAATGTTGTTAGTTTGTATGGAGAAACAATTTTTTTTTTTCTTTTTCGGTGTTAGTCCAGAATAAAAGTTGTTGTTTATAATGTTACTAATATGCACTTCAGAGGTTTTCAGTAAATTTAAAATAACCCTAAATAATGGTTATTAGGTAGCTGTGAAAAACTATTTAATTCTGTTCAAATTACTTTTTATTTCTTAAAACAAATATTTGGCACCGTTGTATTGCAATCATTTATCGTACTACACTAAATCAACTAGGCAGGTCGTAGGTACTGAAAGAGCTATCTTTATAATGAGATAAATCAAACATCTTTGTATTAGCTTATTAAAATAATAAAATATTTAAATATCAACGGCAAAGCGTCAAGTGGTGACAACTATCAAGGTCAATGGGAGCCCGTGACCTTGATAGTTGTCACCACTTGACGCTTTGCAATACAAATATTGCAATACAAAGGTGCCAAATATTTGTATTAAGAAATAAAAAGTAATCTGAACAGAATTCAATAGTTTTTCATAGCTACCTAATAACCATTATTCAGGATTATTTTAAATTTACTGAAAACCTCTGAAGTGCATATTAGTAACATTATAAACAACAACTTTTCTTCTGGACTAACACCGAAAACGAAAGAAAAAAAAATGTTTCTCCATACAAACTAACAACATTTGATTGGTCATTTGAATGGAGGAACAATTGTTTTTCACTTTGACTTTGGCCTGAAAAAAAGTTGCTGTTTATAGTGTTACAAACACATACCTAAGAGTTTTACAGTGAATACAAAATCACCTAAATAGAATTTCATCTATGTATTGAAAGATCCGCCGAAAAAGTCACGGATACGGATACGGTTACGGATCTCTCTTCTTCCTTGGATATCCGCGGATACGGATATGGATACGGATATCCGGCACATCACTAGTAAGAAACTTAAGATCCGTATCCGTATCCGCGGATCTTGACACCATATATCCGTATTCAGATCCGTATCCGCGGATATACTTTGTTAACGATCCGGCACATCACTAGTCGAAACAAACAGAGAGATAGACAGACAGACAGACAAAAATAAATAAACTGGTTTTCAGGCATAGGTATCGCGCAAATAACCGTGTGAACGGAAATGAAAAAAATTAATCGTGAACGGGCTCGTATTTTGACATACCCTAGAAGATTTATCACAACCAAAATGGATTAAATATTATTTATGTACGTATGAATTGAATTGAAATTTGATTGAGATTGCTGCCGTCCATGAGCGGTCGTGGCTTCTTACCATCACCAGGTGACCAGGTGATCTGTTCGTTGCTCTCGAGACCATAAATAAAAACCGGTCAGGTACGAGCCGAACTCACCCTACCCAGATTTTACGTAGATTTTCGCGAAAGTTTGTAAGTACCAAAACTTATTAATTAATTAAATTTATTACTTAATTTTAAACTTTTTTTATTGTTTGGAATTATTCCTTTATTTGTGCTGTAGGACGTTTCTTATTGTCACACGGACAGACGGACAGACCGACAAGAAGTGATCTTATAAGGGTTCCTTTTTTACCTTTTGAGTTACGGAACCCTAAAAAGTGTGTAAAACCATCTTCTTTAAAAAACATTTTTAATATATCCTACACTGTTTTACGTGTGTAATATTCTTTTGCGCTAAATATGATCATGGGCACTGACAAAGCTAAGATCTAAATATTTAATAGCACAAATGGTTCCTACAGACTGAGGTGGTACAGGTGGGCACATGCTGGGGATCAGAGGATGTTCAATATTACGTTGCACTCCTCGTGTACTGTAAGCAGGTTAATGACATCAGTGGCATCGTCATGAGAACTATCAATCAAAAGCCATTACTAAAATTTAAATGAAAGGATAAATTTTCTTCAATCAGACATCCATCTAACTTCTGGATCTCCAAAATACATGCTTTTACCGATATGTTAAATAATTTCAAGAAGAAAAAACATGAAACTTTAATTTGTTGCAAAATAGTTTGCCCGGTAAGTGTCAACGGAGGCGTCGTGCTCGAATTCTATTTCAGTACTGTTGACGTGATTCCAATAAATTGTCAATCTAAAATATTCATTTACAAGAGCCAACGTCCATACCATGTTGAATACACCGGTTCTCGTCCGATCGGTGATGGGACGAGAACCGGTATATAAGAAAAAAAACATGCAAAAAGCCAACATCACGTGGTATTCCCAGGCGGTCACCCATCCAAGTACTAACCACGCCCGATGTTGCTTAACTTCGGTGATCGGACGAGAACCGGTGTATTTAACATGGTATGGACGTTGGCACTTCTAGTAGAATATTTTATGACTGTCAACAATACTATGACTGAGTTGACAGTAACTGGGCGCACTATTTTGCAACAAATTAAAGTTCAAAAACTTTTCTTCTGAAAATAATTAAGCATATCGGTAGAAGCAAGCATTCCGAACATCCATAAGTTATATGTTTGTCTGAAGGAAGAAACTTTTATCATTCAAGTTACAGTGACAAGAAAATTCTTACATCATCCTAATGGTTCCGCATCAAATTCAAATTAAATTTCTCTATTTCATGTACTACGGTTACGAATGATTAAATAACCGTGTTTTTCATTTAAAAGTATAAATAAACTAATAGATGAACACTCATATAATCACTGCAACAACAAGTTGCTTTGACAAGGTAAAATTAAGAAACAATCATTTCAAACCGATGTTACCGTGTCTGCGTGTGTCCATCTATAACTGCCCTTTTCATTCTATCGTTTAGTTTTATGAGAAGAAAAAGAGCAAACAATCAAACTAAGTCAAAAACAATGATCAGTGATATCCTCATATTACTTTCTAAGGATGGTGTTAATTGAATTGTCTATTAAATTACAACCCACTTATTTATTAAGCTCTAACAAAAAATCTTAATATTTAGGTATATTTAAGTTTAAAGACAATGTTCTCATATTAAACATAATTAGCTAATTAACACCCATAAGTGGTGAGGAGCTTAGTGACGGTACCGTGATGTCATATGGCTGGATACTGCATGTTAAAATTACCCAGTTAAATGCCATGCCATGTCCATACCCTGTTGAATACACTGGTGTTCGTCCGATCACCGAAGTTAAGCAACATCGGGCGTGGTTAGTACTTGGATGGATGCCCGGCTCAGAATACTAAACTAAACTAAACTAAAAATCACTAAAAATTGGTTTGGTCTCGTCAAGTACTAAGTTTTCAGAACACGAAACGTTGTTTGACAAGACTAAACAAATTTTTAGTTTAGTTTAGAGAGTTTTTGTACAACAGAATTAGCACTATTATTTGTGTAGTAAACTAGCTAGCACAACATTATGTTGATGTAACACTACAGCGATTAGACAATCCCGCGCAGCCCAGTCGCGCCACTTTGTTCCCCGCTAAAAAGAACAGTTCTTGGTGCCAATTCTCCCTTTGCAAGAATGTGTAAAGTACTGAATCACTACAGCGATGTCATTGACTTACACTTCGATACAATTTGTAAGAAAAAGTCCGTACTTATAGTGGTTTGCTGATGAC